AAGCCCTGCGAAAATGTTTGCAGTAGCAATAAAAGTGTATATTTTGTTGCAATAATCAAAGCGAAAGGATTTGTGACCTAAGAAAGAAATCAACATGTCATTTACATGGAGGATACTGTGATTGCGCTGTTCGGCTGGGGCTATTTTGGGGACAGAAGCCACAGGCAGTAGCCAAAGGGAAAGGAGAGACGCTCACCCGCAGCCTGGGAAACAGAGCGCACAGATACAAAGATGGCAGAGGCCTGCACCCAAGTACCCCAAAGCAGACAGACCCATTTCTCGCCGTTTTTATACCACACGTATCATTCCTACAGTATCTAAGACTTTGAACTAAGGTCATTTTATTTTTGCAATCATTGCCCATAGTGTGAGGTACTGCATAGAAATTAACTACTAAAAGCTATTTTCTGTTAGAGCCAGGGTCAAGACACACAGACGCCATCAATATGAGGATCTTTGTTCCTGTAGGGGAGAATCAAACATGAGTTTGAAAGCAATTTATTTTACAATAGCTTCCCTGGCCTGTGTCTTAGGTGCTGTGCTTAGCTTCAAAGCAAACCTAACACAAGCGTCGTCATTCTGTACCTTTATTTCATTTTGAAAGAAGTTGGAAGCAATCGTGCCCCACGCGGTTCGGGGTAGAGACTGGTGCTTCAGGCACCCGGAAGCCACGAAGGAAAATATATTTGAGAGAAAGTATCAGCAGTGACGACTTGCTCTGTGTCACCTCTGAACTTTCATCTGTAGTCTTTATTAGAAATGGCCCGTAGGCGGGTGAGGTGATCATCATGGAAGGCAATGGTGGGACCCACTTTGCAGGGAACTCAGGGTGATTCTTCAATCTAAACTATCTCACCACACAGAAACCTCATGACCTCAGAACATGGAAGTTAGCGGTTGCCAGCTAGAAGTGTTCAAAGGACCTTGATTTTGCAAACATGAGTGTCATTTTCCTCACATGTGACATGGAGGGGGAAATGAATTATGTCTTTCTACAAATGAATTTTTTTCCAATGTACTAAATTCACTTATATAATTGATGATGTTTACTTCAGGTAATCCCTAATCCTCGATAGGAGATTACCTGAGGCACAGGCCTGACCCTTGATCATTTCATGAATAGTTGAGCTTTTGGGGTTTGGGGGTTTTGTTTTTTTAAGTTGATTCCACCTTATAGCTCTTCTTAAGGGGAGGAATCAAGCACACAAACCATGCAATTACATAGAATCCCGGGGCAGAGAAAGGAAAGTATGCATTTAAGGAAACAAAATCCAGAGCAGGTTCCTCTGGGGATGTCTGCACTCTGTGATCAGTCTTACTGCTAATGCGTTTTCACTATTTGAAAGAAATCAAGGAAGCCACCGAAGTGATTAATGCTTTATGTCTGCCCCAAAGGACTATGATTTTTCTTCCTGCGATTTTTCTATTGTAATAACAATAATAATAATGTTTCTTCTCATTTCTATGACATCATAAAACTGAAACACTTTAGAAAGGGATGAACCAAAGGATGACTATATGGTAATGTGGCGTTATTCAGTGTTTTACCTAATATTGTAGAGGAACAGACAAATCCCCAAAATGAGCAAAAGCAGGGACCCCATCTTCTCTTTGCAGCGGTTGCCTTGGGCCACTTCCATCCAACTCCATCACCTGCAAGGCGTTAGTTAAGAAGAAGAACTGCCTGTGAACACCAACAGGGATACATTTCTCTAGTGGTTAGTGTGACGTGAGTTCTGCAGAATCAACCTTCAACTTCAGAGTTTCTACACAGCAACCCCTTATTCTCACCTGTGTTCTGTGTAGGCCGGCAGAAGTGTCCATCCGTCCTTATGGACCCATCCGAATACAGGACTTAACCTGGGTGAACGTTCAGAGAACCCACGCCTGTCCTTCCATGCTTGGGCAGGAAATGTCACCCTCCTCTTCTTCCCTCGAGGCTTTGTGTAACCCCATCTACATATAATGGACTAGGGTAATGTGCATCTCAGTGTCCCACAGGGGGAGAGCAGGACACAGATGACCCCAAGGGACGGGTCACTCACTTGCACTGCTTTAGACATGAGGAAGCTTAAGACGCATCCATCTTCCACACCCCAGTGAGGGACCTTGAACTATGGATGAAGAGGTTGGCTTTGTGTTATGCAAGTCAGCTCAAAGCATTGATGAGACTCTTAGTTGCTATATAGTCCCAATCCTTAGCATCACTAAGTTCTTCCGTTAAAAGGAAGAAAAACGTTGGTGAGTGTTGAGAAAAGGACCTGCTGTATATGTGGTTTTAGTACCAAATACATGAATTGCTTTCGGCCTGCAATAGTAGGAAGATAGTAGCAATCCTCTCATTGTATCAGGGGGAAAGTAATATTAGAGCCCTGGGAGGCTGCCATGACAATTACCACATCTTCCTGGCTTCAAAACAACACAAATTTATTCTCACAGTTTTGGACGCCAAAAGTTTGAAGCCACTTTGAAGGTTCTGAGTGACAGGCCTCACAAGACAGAATAGGAAATTCCTCCCCCGAAAACCTCTTCCTGATTGTGTGGTTTCCCCTGACCTGTGTCTGAGTCACCCCAGTCTTCACCCCCATCTTCACCTGACAATTCTCATGTCTCTCTGGGCCCTCTTCAATCTTTTATAAGGAGCTCATGTTTAAGTCCTGCCTGTACAAGATCTGAGTGAAGACAGTGAACTGATGATCCGTCCTCAAAGCCCTGTCTGAAAATAACTTGCCATGCGCAAGTTCCAAGACTTTGATCTTGAGTTTATTTTGGTAGAAAGCCACTATTCATCCCACTAGAGTGTGTGAATGTTTTCTATTCTTGTATAAATTGATGGCATTACACTTAGAAGGTTATACCACCTTCAAAGTCTGTCCAGCCTTAAGATGCAGAGTAACAAAGCTTGGATCAGCACTAAACTGATCACGACTTTCTTACTTAGTGATTCTAGCATTCAGAGCACATTAGGACTGTGGAACCTTATTGTTTACAGCAGACACTCAGCCGAGTCTACATATTTTCTGAGTTTTTAGGTTTCTGGTGGGGCTTCACCTCTGCATTTAAGAAGTGCCACAGATGATTATGACACAAATAATAAGCACTTAGAGTCACTCAGAATCAAAATGCTCAAATACTAGTACAGTTTGGGGAAAATGTCCAGTGAATTGATGTGTAATATTAGAATCATGACAGCAGATGCTCAATAAATAGCATTCTTAAGGGTTTAGTGTGGCCATGATGGCTGTGGTTAAGGCGTACCATGGTGATTCTTGGAGCTTTTATGTGGAGCAGCCTTATAGTCTGTGATACCTACTAAGGAGCCTGCCCTCCTGGTCATTTCAGAAAATATTGGCTTGTGTGTTACATTCCTATGGTAAGGGTGGAACTGTGTAGCTATAAACAGCTTTTGTATGATTCTCTGTCTCTTTAATGTGTGTAAGGGTTTCATGGAAATGAATTTGTAGTTACCTTTTTATGTGTCAGATTTGCCTTTAGCACGTAGCATTGTTAAAGTCTTTTCCATTTTGCTAATATGAGTTGGTTCAGGAGCAAGGCATGCTGTAGTAGTCATTCATTTCTAAAGGGACCATTCTTGTTCTCATTTACATCAATCATGGCTTTTCTGAGTGCTGATTTCTACCAGAATTCCCCTTTCCCACATAAACGTATTCAGAAGCTGCCTCTAAGGTACAAATTAAGGGTCTAAAATTCACTTACTGTTAAGGGACTGATGAGCCATTCATAGAAGCTGCTTGATCAAGACAAAGATCTGGTGAAATGCCTGAAGAAAATCATTCCCAAAATGGTATCTGTCACTGATGGCCTTGTTTCTCCTCGGTTATTGACAGGACATGATAGTGCCATTAGAATAATGTACAATGGAAATTGTTCATGACCAGAAATTTCAAGTGTATTTACCTATGTTATAGTTAATAAGTGATGCAAAATAAATCAGTCATGTATGCAGGCCTACTCTGAAATGTCATTTGCATATCATAGATAAATGATAGATAGATAGATAGATAGATAGATAGATAGATAGATAGATAGATAGATGATAGATAGATAGATGATAGATAGAGATGATAGATGATA